GGAGGAGGAGGAGGACGGTGACATTTATCGTCACAGCAGCTTCCATCCTTTCGACAGTTACAGTATCAGTGCTGATGTCAGCGAATCCGAGAGCTGTTCTAGCGCCAGCACATTCTCCTCCCGGCCCCTCCTCCTCCTCAGGCAGCTGCTTCTCATGCACTAAATTCTCTCTCTTCCTCTTCTGATTCTCCGGCCAGGCCTAAGGTTATGTTTCCAGTCGTCGGTCACAGACATGTTGTGATTCCGGAGGAGAAGCAGGACGAGCCTGAATTATCCGGTGAATCGTTCTTTTCTAATCTTAAACAAATTAGGTTGTTTACAATACTACTAAATAAATTACCGTCATGATCTCTAAATACTCTTTGCTTTCATTTTGATATCTTTATGTATCCTTTTTTTTTTGGTCAAAAAATCTCTATCATGTTTAGTTCTGTTTTGCTGAGAAATTCAGGAAAAACACTCTCCTGTGAAATTTGATTGGTCTGTTGCCTAGCTTAGCTAGTAGAATTATTTTTAATCACTGTTTGGTAGGTCACGCTTCAACATATTGCATTTAGCTTCCTACCAAACTGTTCAACTACTGCTACTGCTACTTCTTTTAGCGGTGAATTTTATCTTTCCTTCTCCATCATTAAGAAAATAAAAGGACATAACGACGGGACAATTAGTACGTGTTATTTAACTAATTTGTTGTGCTAATTAAGGGAACACATAAAATTGAAGCTTGGAAAGCAGTTTCGCGGATAGCGAGCTGCCCACGATAATTGACAAAGCTTAGCTCATAGCAGAATTTAAGTGGCAATGAAACATATCACACCCCCTCGAGCCTTGATGGATAATCATGTTTGAAATAAACCAACATGTGCAAATCGGATGTATAGGATGCTTACTTTCCCTTTTTCTTCTTCCGTAAGTCATCCTATGGATTTTTATTTTTATTTTTATTTTTTTGGGATGAGTGGGGAAGGTTAGGGTGGACAGGATCGGGGCTTGAGATAATTGGTTTCATTTTTAACGTGGTTCCACCTTTAATTAATTAAACCAGGAATGAGCATATGAGCAAAAGCTTGTGACTAGCAACTTCCTTTGTGTAGTGTGAAGCTAAATTAAGCGCAGTGGACTAGAAGGCATAATTTTGGTTAATTTCTCCTGTTCTTTTCTGGAACTTATATTCTTACTTCTTGTGGTACTCCAGAAGTTGAATTGATCAAAGAGCGTTTTGCCAAGCTGTTGTTAGGAGAAGATATGTCAGGTGGAGGTAATGGAGTATGTACTGCTCTTGCCATATCCAAGGCCATCACAAATCTTGCTGGTTCGTTCACCTTTCAAGTTGTCATATTCCTCTCCGCTTTTTTACCTTCCCCACCCCTTTGGTAAATAACATCGAGGGTGATTTACATTATTTCTCAATAAAAGCCATTTGTTGGTTATCAACATGAATTGGCAGCCACTGTGTTTGGAGAGCTATGGAAATTAGAGCCGATGGTGCCTAAAAAGAAGTCAATGTGGCTGTGTGAAATGGAATGGCTTCTATGTGTCAGTGATTCCATTGTCGAGCTTGTTCCATCAGTGCAAGAACTTCCATGTGGTAGGACAGTTGAAGTCATGGTGCCTCAACCGCGGTCTGACTTGTCTCTGAATCTTCCAGCACTTAAGAATTTAGACGCAATGCTAATTAGCATCTTGGACGGATTTCATGACAGTGAATTTTATTATGTCGATAGAGGGATAATTTTTGCTGATGGAGAATTTATTGAAGCAAGACCGTGCCCTCCATCTCAGGAAAGGCCTTCAATTACACTTGAAGAGAAATGGTGGTTACCATTCCCAAAAGTCCCACAAAATGGTTTGTGTGAGGAGACAAGGAAACAATTGCAACAGTGCAGGGAATGCACAAATCAGATATACAGAGCGGCTGTGGCTATTAACAACAGGGTATTGTCAGAAATGGAAGTCCCGCAAGTTTATTTGGATAGCTTGCCCAAGGTAAGAGTTCACTTTTAAATTGTAGTGTTGGGTCCATCCATTCTTGTGACCACCTTTTACTGACCATATGGAGCAGAGAGAGACAGCCATAGTTGTTTATCTTAAATAATCCTCTATAACTTTTACAATATGTACTTCGATGCAACGAATTGCTATTTGGATTTATGCAGTTCCATTATCAGATAGCTTTTTGTTTCAGCGCTAATGAACCATCTGATGTCATTTTAAGAATGACTCGACTACTTACTCTGATCTTACTCCTTTTGCATTTGGCTGTGCTACTTATGTAATGATAACGTTGTTGGTTTAGTGTATCTCAAGTGTCAAGTTTGACCTCTGCCAATGTATAGGATCGACTCATGTATATCTCTATCTTTTAGTTTTGTAGTTGCTAAATGTGGAGTGAGTAATTGGTTGCAGGACATCATAGATGAAATACCAGTTGTCAAGCTGTAGTTTTCAGTTTGTTCATATTGTTTGCATCTACGATGGTGGAAATCTTCAACAAGTTATACCCACTAACTGACACGGATTATGTATTTATTTTCCTTTTGATATTCTTTTGAAGACTTTGCTAGGATTCTTGTTGGTTGCACTGATGATAGCTTGATTACTAATGCAGTTTGTGTTGTTCTTGTTGCAGAGTGGGAAGGCTTGCTTAGGTGAAATTCTTTACCGGTATATAACTGGTAATCAGTTTTCCCCCGAATGTCTTATTGACTACCTAGACCTATCATCAGAACATAACACCCTAGAAATTGCTAATAACATTGAAGCAGCTTTACATATATGGAGGCAGAAGTACTCCAAAAAAAAATTCTCTCACACAAAAACTGGGAAGTCACAATGGAGTGGACCACTTAAGGTCTTTGTTGACATCGAGAAGGCCAAAATGTCAGCACAGCGAGCTGATTCCCTCTTAAAGATCTTGAAGCTGCACTTCCCTACCCTCCCACAAACAGCACTAGAAAGGCATAAGATACAGTATAACAAGGTAACCAGAATAGCTCGTTTTGTTGGAAAATGTATGTCAATTGGTTCTTCATTTTGCTCTAAATTTTCTGAATATACCTCTATTTCTCAGATCCATTAACACTGCCAAAATTAGGATATAAACTTTATGTAGCGCTTCACTTTTTTATCCAGACATTATTAGATTTGGACATAGATAATTGCAGTTTTGCGCCTAGTCTGCACAGCTAACAGATAAAAGCTTGAGTATCAAATGATTAGAAAATGTCCAAAACCGTTATTTTCCTGATTGTTCAAGGGCACATCAATTTAATGTGGTGTTTTGATTTGCTTGGTTGAAGTGCTACCATTCGATTACTCATGCTGAAGCTGTCTTCGATATGTTAACTTACCTTTTATGACCCTACCATGATAGCATTCTTGTGGCTTTTGCAAAAAGTAATAGCATTACAAGTTGCTTCTTGTATGGTATGGAGCCTGTCTGTATGCGTTGAACTAGTCTGGAATGAGTTGAAAATTTCTGTTGTCTGCACATGCCATTAGATGGACTGTTTCCTTGGTTTAAACCTCTGATTCATTCACCTTTCAAGTGACTCCCTAGACTCTCCACGGAAATAAGAAGCTAATTTGTTTTTCTATAGGATGTTGGACAATCAATTCTTGAGAGCTACTCCAGGGTGATAGAGGGCTTAGCCTTTAACTTAATGGCTAGGATTGAGGATCTTCTATACGTTGATGAAGCTACAAGACTACGTGCGGCAGCGGAATCATTATCCTTTGTCGACCATAGGGGATTGACTGGAGATTTTACCATGCAGAAGCAGTTTCCTTCTGGTCCGGTTTCAACTCAACTTAATTCTTGCGCCTCTCTGCTAAGGAAACCAGCATTTTGTTCTGGAGTCCCCTTGGTTCGAAAGCTAAAGAGGATACAAAAGTCTCAAAGAATACGCCGGATGAAAAGATAGAAAGGTTAACTTTTCAGTGACTCAGAATTTTTTTTTTTTAATAATTTTACCAGACCAGACTGTTGTATTATCCAATGGCACACGACAAGACATCTCTTAGCATATGCTTCCCTTGTTAAGGCTGATCATTGAGACAGATACTCGAGTCAGGAAAGAAGCTTTGCTTTGTCAACTTTCTCAATGATCCATTTATAAATTTCTGTTCCGTTAGGGCATTATTGGAAGTATATGGATTCAAACCTCCATTGGCGTAACAGAGAGTCTCCAAGTCCTGTGGCTTATGCTGCCGGAAAGCAATTATCATTGTCACCACGGCTGTCGGAGGGACCTGCCCTGCTGATTATTGGACTGCTACTTTTATGTTACCAGATGCTATATTAATTTATGTTCTGCACGCTGGATGTTGAAATGTTTCACCCATTAAGCGTTTAAGCACTTTGGCTTGATTCTTGCCATGGATACTCCATGCATTTGAACTAGACTAATTGTTTCACTTTCATAAAGCTCTTTGACTCTCTTAATAATGTACTTTTTTTTTCCTTATGTAAAACAAAAACTACCGCCTAGACTGGACCTTGAACAAGGGAGAAAATATATATATATATATATATATATATATATATATATAATTTTACCATATATACATGGTTTACTATCCAAGCAATTCTTTTACTGATTCAGACCAACGGAAACCAACAAAAGAAAGAACTGCTGCAAACTTTTCATCGGCCAAAACTTTAAGAAATGAACAATAGATAGGAAAAGAAATTATAAACTTTCTGACTTCTCAACTTCAAGAAAGTCAGTGGTTCACATTCGCAAAATGATATTTTTTTTATTTTATGCTTTTTAACCTTAATTACCATTATAGAAACAGGGAAAATTTTATCCTGTCAATCTTTTGCATCTCGAACATCATCAATTTAGGTAAAATCCCAAAAAACACAGAAGCGCTTGAACGGCACTTCATCCATCCCCACAAACTCCCTTCAAAAAACAAAAAGCAAAAAGAAAAAAGAAAAAGAAAAATGTGAAGTAAATAGAAAAGAATAGTAGTATTAGCGCTGAACAAATTAGTAATCAACTGAGGTAAATAATCCCTCACTTCGAAGAGCAAAGAGAGAAAATTAAATAGTAGAAAATTCCGGCAATGCAATAAAATAAATTCTCTGCATAATGAACACTAGGAAGCCCACCAAGCCAAAATCAACAATGAGGCAACAGTATTAACCCTGGCCATTTCTTCAGCTTTAGCCGATACATTATCTTCTTCGAACATTCCAAGGCAGCGATGTATTCTTCAAGTTCATTCACTTCAAAGATCATCAAACGGCCCTTCCCACCAAAACTGTTGACTACCCTTACTTTACTTTATAGTATTACACATTAATTTGTATCTCTTTGATGATCTTCGATTGCTTTTTTGTCATCATGTTCCTCATCTTTGATCTTCACTACCACCACCAACTTCCTGCAGCCGATTACCGCCGTTAGAACTTGACAACGAGGTTGAAGCATGACATGGATCAATGATGGAATTGACAGGGGAGTAGCAGACGGAGGCAAAGATATTTCATGCAGGAGATTCAACAATGACAGGCAACATCAACTCCGCACAAAGCACTCACTTTCGCAGCCTTCCTGAATAAACCTGCGCGACGTGGTATAACCTTTTCTCTTCACTGTGGTTTCCAAGGCGGAACAACTTTTAAGAGGATAGACAAATTGAGAAGAATTCGGTTTTAAGACTCGAAGGAAAACAACGCACGCTTCAAGCCAGAGATGGATTTGCAAGCTCACCCACTACTGTTCTCGGTCTTTTCTGTGGGCAGACAAAAGAATGGTGTTTTAGGTTTTCCATCGTTAAAAATTTGTAGCATGCTTTTAATGAGTTTCGTTGTTGATGAAGTTATCATTTAGATAGCACAAATATGTCAAATAACATTTCGCTTGTATCATAAACACATTTTTCAACTCACATTTTTATATGCCCAATTACCTTTTTATCTTATATACATCACATCATAAAAAGTGCTACAGTAATTATTTCAAATAATACTCTATCCAAACAAACCCATTGAGTTTCCCGGTTTCTGGATTTATCAAGGCAAAAATGACAACTTTCTGCACCAAATAATAATCCACCAAGATTTCTTTCTTTAAGCGACGTCTAATATTTTCAAAGCATCCTAAATAAAAAAGTCCGTTGAATAGTAGCCTTTAGTATTCATTCAATACCACAAAAATCAGAATTTGTCAGAAAATATAAAACATTATTAATTCTGTGCTACAATTGCCTGTTTAATGTGAAGAAATTTTGAGTGCATGACAAATGTTATAAATGTCTTGAGTTTGCTCTTTTTTCTAACATAATATACGTAAAAATTTTCAATGCCACCAACTGTTAACTTAATCCTATTTTTTGCTCTATGAATAATTGGTGAATTACAAACCTTAAAAAAAAAAAAAAAAGGCATTGAACCAAGGACTAACCCCGATGGTTTGCAAATAGCCATGCACTTTTAACTGCAACAAAGAACCTTGAACACTGCTAATGGAAGTGGTGAAATTTGAAAGACGCTACATGCAAAAGACTCTACTAATTATGAAGCATCACGTCCAAGGAAAAGGTTTAGTTTCACGTCTTTGCATGAGAGCATCCAAATTCCGGGAACCATCAGCACTCATCAGGTTTGATAAAGGGGGCAAAACATCATTTATGGCTGTTGGCTAGGGAAATTAAGTACTAGTACCACACTAACACCTAACAGCTCATGTTTTGATAAGAAAACAAAACATCGGATAGGATATCATTTCCCCCACTGGCCTCACTAAATGCAACCAGCAATTTCTGGGAAGAATAGAATTACGAATTATGATACCCTAACGTGCATTGTCTCCCCCATATTTCCTCTCAACCTTCTTCTAACAGCCAAAGAATGCATTCTACTGCTACAGACTTGTTATTCTAGGTAGGTCGCCAAGCAAATTCTACCTCGTGCTTCTTCTTCAAAGCTGCAAATACCGAGACAATTGTTAAAGAAAATGAGCACCTTGATTGTTTGGATACCCTTTTTTTTTTCTTGGCTTTCTTGTAAAAAATTACAAACACATTTTTTAACAAATTTTTTTTTTATATTCCCAACAACATTTTCATCTCACGTACATTTTCATTCCCAAAATTAGACTATAGAGTTATTCCAAATAATGTATCTTCAAGTCATTCATTGTTTTTCTTCCGTTCATTCCATCGGAAGTTAAAAATAAATGGGTAAAAATAAGTAAATAAAAATATGAATGTGAACATACAAGAATTCAACTTACAGTTTCAATAACTCGTTCTCATGAATCGACAGTTTGGTCCAATTTATTCATTTCACAAGGATCATAACTTACCATTGAGAGTCCAAGTTAGAGCTGTAACTGCTATTTTTCGTATTACATAAACAAAGGCAGACCCGAGTGCATGTTACTTCCACTTCAAATTATTTCAAAGCAATTTCATTCGTGCCATACATAATAAGCATTCATCAAAGATTAAAAAATAATAATAAAAAATCATGCCACACAAATAAGAAATGAGGTCAACCATTAATAGATAGAAAGCTAGACAGCAGAAAGTAGAAATAAAACGAATATGTGGGAATCTATTGTGCTCCTAGCTAATTCATAATCAAGAACCCTTAAACCGCCCATCCTTGTGTCCAACAAAATTTAGTGGCATATTCAGGAGCAGGCTTACTTTACAGGATTTAGTGGGTAAAATATGTCAGACTTCAATCATGAGCAAGCAAGAACTACGTTGGAGAGCGTAAAGCAAAGGTTTCAAAAAAGATGGGGGTTCCGCTGCCGCTACTGTTAGACCCCCTAATCACCCACAGTACTTCCCTCTCCTTAAGCGTGGCTTTTTAGTACTTTACACGAATATTATACAACAAAACGAAGAGTAGCTTCTTCGCATCAATCTCAATTCCGGTTTCCACCAATGCCTCCTGCCTACCCCAAAAACCATTAATTATATGCTATAAATTCCCGTCTACACGGTTAAGTGCAGATGAATGAGAAAACAAACGGTGCCAAAAATGCGTCAATCCATAAAGAAACAAAGTGAAGCCATGAAGCATGATACTACGAGTTTTCTTAAGTTCAATATACAATAGTCTGTACTCAGCCACAAAACAAAAGGGGATAGAGTGGTAATAATATTCCTCCTGCCTGCCCCAAAACCATTATATGGTTGTAACAATAGCTAGTTTTAGAAGGTAGTAGAAGATTTGGGGTTTCATATTTGCAAAAGAAATGATATCATGAAACAAAACCATGAAAATTTCCTTGCCCGTATGAATCTTGGGTTGGTTGCTAAACGATGGACACCGTTGACTAGCTAGCAAATCTCTACACGAAGATGCTTTTCATCTCCTCCAGATAAGAATTTGCCTTAGCACCTAAATAAAATGCATCACAGAACTAAACAACGACGGATGGATGGTATCATCATTTAAAGGGATCCTACGTTACAACTAGTCCAAGATGAGACAAGGATTGAGTTGAACCACAGAAAATTCATATCTTTGCACACAACATATGAGCTGAGTCTACCTGGTGATTCAGCGTTTCAGAGAAAAGCAAGGGAGAAAACAAACATGAACCGCCGCTCTGGAGAAACCCACGTCTGAAATCTGTAAACGAGTATCACGAGGGTTCCGCAAAGAGAAACCAACAGAGCTCAGTTGGCAGTATGCCCACCTCCCCCAAAAACAGAATACAAGTGTATTGAGTTTATTTTGTAGAATGCATATTTCATTGGTCTGAATTAATATGGAGGTGGACAGAATGCCAATAAAACTCTGTGGGAAACCCTTTGTTAAACCACCATGAATATTTCCGTAAGCATCCATCGACCACTGTACTGTAATAATCTCTCCCACTGCCAAGGCTTTGAAACAAAGTCAGAATACTTGCAGGGAGGCAAAGAAGCATCTCAAGAAGGAATATGAATGTAGGAGAGATTGAAAAAAGAGCAGAGGCAGTTGGGAACCATTTAAGATGGGTGATGAGGCCTGTTAGATGCTACTAGTAAATAAATATGAGAGAGACAAGAAAGAGAGGGTTGAGAGAGGCTGTAAAATAATTAATGGGGGTGGTGAGTCTGGTGACTGGTGACGAGATCGACTTGAGAGTTTCAGATTTCATACAACAGATTGGATGGTTCATACGACAATACATGATAAATCATGCTTGAACGCTTCTTCATTCTTTCTTTGAGGCATATTATCTAGAAGAAGCAAAGGATCAAAAGAATGATCATAGATGTTCTTTTTCCCCTATCCCTTTCCTCGTTTCTGATGAAAAAAACCCTCGAACCCCCACAACCATCAGTCTTTTCTTGCCTTCCTCAAACAACCTCCCTCCTGCTCCTCGTTTCTGATGCACTAAACGACTGAAATCTCTCCCTCTCTCTCTCTCTCTCTCTCTAGTTGTTCGAACGTGAACAATGAAAAAGCTTAAACGAGGAGATGCAAAGGGCTTGGGATTTGGCTAGTTATAATTGGGGAAACTTCTTGTTCCTGTTAGCGAAATGACGAAAGGAGGATAATTACTTTCCCAGAAGCTGATTCGAGTACCACCCCTACTTGGTTGGTTTTATGGACGTAGAGTTGTGGCTCCCTCCAACATTTTATGCTCTTTTTTTTTTTTCTTTTCCTCTTCTTCTTGTAAATAATCCTGGCCAATGGATAGGAGAACAATTGAGTTTAAAATAGTGAACTAATTCATGTGACAGCTCCAAGATAAACGACAAAAAAAAAAAAGGAGAAAGAAAGGCTCCAATATTTTCATGTGAGTATTTCAAATTAATGGATAAAATAAAAAAAAAATTAATCACATTAATTACAATAACATGGGTGTTAATTTGAACTATTGGAAATGAAACATCAAAAAGAAATTACTCAAAAAAAATTTTAAAAAGAGGCTCCACCATTCTCCAAACACAAATGGGCACAAAGGTGATGCACACAAAATTTGTTTGGATTGCAATATATTTCTTTAAAAAAAATTTTATACTTTTTATGAATATTTTTTAATTATCATTTAATTTTATATACATCAATATATTTTATGGATCAATATATATATTTTTCATATTTATTTTTATAAAAGCTCTAAAAAGCTCTTAAATTTTTATTTTTTTTTTTGTCAATACAGTGGGGTATCCGGGATGCACCCGACTAATCCCCACTGCACCCCGAGACCCCGCCCCCCAAGAGCCTCGAAGCGGTAGTGAGCAAGATTCGACCACACGACTAAAAAGCTCTTAATTTGGTGGAATATTATTGTGACTTCATCTGCCGGAACTGGAAATCTGTAATTAAAAATCATCATAAGCTATGAGACTGCTTTGCCGTCCAAGCAGTTGCCTCTGCAAGTCACAATTGACCGTGGATTAGTGTAATTATAACTTCTGAATTATGCTCCCAGCTGCTGATGAGGGCTATCTAAATCAGCAGTAACATCAATTGGACTTTCTCAGATTCTTTTTCTCTCACTAAACACAAGAATCAATCGAACAGTACAGAAAGAATAATAATTAATCATATTTTGTTCATCAATATTAGAAATTGCATATGTTGTTTTCACTTTGCCCACCTCATCGTCCCATTAGATTAATCTACCCCCAAAAAATTTTTTTTTTTTTGTTTTCTGTTCTCTCTCTCTTTTTATTTGACCGTGCAATGATCAACCTAGTAAATCTCATATTCTTGCACAAGGGCCTGTTTGGAACCTGAGTTTTTTGAGAGTTTGTCTAAAACTTTACTGTAGTGCACTGTAGAAGTTTTTGAAAAAATTTTGTAAAAGTTTTTGTAAGTAGAAAAATTTTGTAGAGGTTTTTGTAAGGTGAAATTTTTTTCCATTTCTTTTTTTTCTTTCCTTTTCTCTTTCTCTTTCTTTTTCTTTCTTTCCTTTTTCTTTTCTTCTTCTTCTTCTTCTTCCTTCCCCTTCCCCTTCCCTGTTACCTCCGCCACCCCTTTCCTCCCTTTCCCCTTCCCCTCCTCTCCCCCGCCACCCTCTCTGCTCCGCCACCCCCTCCCCCCTTCCCTCTCTGCCCCGCCTTTCCCCTCTGCCCCGCCACCTACCTCCCCCGCCTTCTCCCTCAACCCCGCCACCCCTGCAAAAGCTCCCTCTCTCTCTCCCTCTGCCCGCCACCCCTCTGCCCGCAACCCCCTCCCCCACACCCTGCGCTGTGGTGGAGGGAGCTAAGAGGAACGGCAGCGAGGTGGGAGTTGCGAAGAGGAGAGAGAACGCGCGAGGGCTTTGGGTCGCCGCCAAGGAGGAACGGCGGCGCACGATGGAGCCAGGGGGCGTGGCGCGAGCGAGAGGCAGCGGTTGGGCTGGAGTCGTGCGAGGTGGTGGTGGCTTCGTCGGCGTTGCGAGGGAGAGAGAAAGGCTGTGGTGTCGCTGGAGTCGCGCGGCGTGGGCAGCGGTGTCCGGCCACGGAGACCGAGAAACGCGCGAGAGGAGAGAGACGTGCGGCGAGGTAGCGGCGTGCGCTGGTGATGAGGGAGGAGATGACGGCGGACAAAGGGGGAAGGTGGCGGGGAAAGGCAGAGGGAAAGAGGGGAGCAAAGAGGGGAGGGAAAGAGGGAGGGGGGAGAAAGAAAAAAAAGGAAAAAAGAGATTTTGGAACAAAAGGGAAGGGGAGGGAGAGAAAAAAAAAGAGGAAGGCCGGCAAAGTTGGCCGGAATAGTTACCGGCTCCGGAAGTGGTGGTGGAGGTGGTGGCCGGTTGGGTGAGAGAGCAAAAAAAGAAGAAAAGTTGAAGGGAAAGTTTTTTGTGTATTATTTTGAAGTGTGTAGGTAAAAAACTTTAATAAGTTTTTTGGGGTTCCTGTAGCAAAAGTTGTTAAAAAACTAGTAGCTAAAAAACTAGGCCAAAAACTTCACTTCCAAACAAGCCCATAATAGCATGCCTCAGTGACAGCAATAATTTTCGAAGGATCGTATCACCCCACTTTTAGAAAAGCATGAAAAGACATATATAACCTCCATAAGAGAAATGAAGATTATATATGATTTGGATAAAAATGCCCACAAGCATGTTATTTATTTATTTTAGATAAATTAGTAGTGATTTAATTGAGAGCAATATGTAAGGGTTGTTAAAATTGATTGTATTATTACACTTGAATAATTTTAAAACTTTGCTTTTGTTGAAAATTCTAAAAGATGGATTTTTCTAATTGAAAAATAAGGAGGTAAAGTAAAAAAAAAAAATTAATCTAATTGGGGTATTTTATGATTAACCACATAAAAAATGACCAAAACATGAAAGGAGAACTACTCTTTCTTGTTAGATAGAAAATTCTATACTATCTAAGGAAGTAGTAGTAGTAGCTATTTACTGCTTTTTTTTATTATTAAATGTTGGAAATTGGTCTTCAAAATGGTAGGACCTAGTCATCGGCCACCAAAGTTGGCATCCTAGGTACCTTAGAATAGAACTTGAGTTATGCTATCTTCTTTTATTACCTTTTTATTACCAAAAAAAAAAAAAAAGAATAGAACTTGAGAGATGGGAAGAAAAGCAAGTGCCCATAAAGTTTTGACCTACGATACAGTTGCATAGAGTGGATATAAATGGACTAAACCAAAAGGCAAATGGTAAATGTAGGTCAAAGTCCTCTTCAATTAATAAGAGAAAATTATGTGGTGCCGTGCAGCTATCTATCTATCACTACTATTCACTAGCCTAACCTAACAGCGTTCTCTCATTTCATATCATACCCTTTTCCAAGGACGAGAGTGAGAGTAGAAACTGTGTGATGAGTGAAGGGTAGAGATGAAATCTTCCCTTTTGTCGAGTGATGCACTCATCACGCCCACACCTCCCCCGCACCCATCCTCCTCTCAAGTCTCTTCGACTGCTTTTGCATATTTTCCTTCCTTCCACTTCCCATCCCATCCCATCGTCCTCCAGTTGCTATCAGCCTATCCTTGTTCAGTAATAAAAAAGTTCAGTAGCTTCTCCCGAAGACTCGAACTTGCAGTGCCAAACTTCCACAAGTGTTCGAAAAAGTTTTCATTCCTTTCCATGTGTGGGCTAAGGTCTTAGTCTGCGCCCCGGTATTATTATTTTGTTGTTCCATCGTCCCATTTATTGCAATAGAACTGTCCGCCAGCCATGCCCAATAAATTCTGCTGCTACTTGAATTTCAAACATTAAATTTATTTCCTCAAAAAAAAAATTCAAACATAGTATTAAACAGAAAAGAAATCAGTGCTATGAGCAAGTAACTTTTAGGGATAATTTCACAAACCTTCCCTGAGATTAAGGTTTTAATAACAAAATTAGTCCAATTAAAAAAAGTAACATTAAAAAGGTATTTTAAGGAGAGAGATGAAATTTTGATTTCATAAATATCCCTCGTACATGTATATAAGTTGTATTGATAAAAGTTAGAAACAATTAATATACACATTTTACCACTTAAAAAGTTCATATTTAAATATTCAATTTTACCACTCAAAATTTTTTCAAAATTTGCCTTTTTTTCTCGCCTTTCCTCCGTTAAGTATATCAACTGATGTTATTTTCTAAATACAAGTTATCGTTCATTATTAAATAAATTTTCAATAGTTATTTTCGTTAATTTAGTTGCTAATAATTAATTAGTACTCTAATTACTTGATTATTAGATATTGGTAAAGAAGAATGAAGGGAAAAAAAGTCCAATTTTGAAAATTATTTCTGTTCAAAATCACAAGAGTTATAGTAAAAATCATGTCAAAAGAGATGACTAATCTGTTTTGTTGAATCTTGTGTCAAAATTAGTATGGTTTTGTTACTTATTTTTGTTATTTAATTTATTAAATGTGAACTTTTTGAATGATGAAATGTATGTATTAATTGTTTCTAGTTTCATTTCTATGTACTTTTTTATGTTATTTTTTCTAATTGGACTAATTTTGTTATCAAAACCTTAACCTCATGGGAAATTTGTGTAATTTTATAAATTTTAGGGTAGGCTAGTGAATTATTAAAAACCTCAGGGGAGGTTTCTAAAATTATCCCTAACTTTTTATGGACCTTCGGTTGACAGACTTGTCTTTTTTAAACCCTTCAACTTCGTCTCACCGGTCTCCTTGAGGATTGGGACGTGGTGCAGACCCCAGTTGGCACTACTGACTCATTGTCAGAGCTTGCTATGATTGGATCATTGGGACACTCGTAATAAAAACTTCTCCTAATCATCATGCTAAAGTGCCCCCTCGGTTAGCTCGGGTGGCCTGTGTAGCCTCTTTAGGTGAGACAGGTCTGGGGTTCGACCCTGAGCTTGAGCAACCGGGGTATCTTCCTGGGATCGGTGGGGCCTCTCCTCGGGTTGGGGGACTAGTCGGGTGTAGGCCCGGACAGCCCCAACTGAAAAAAAAAAAAAAAAAAAAAAAAATCATCATGCTAAAGTTATGTGAATTCGTTTTCATGCTACAAAATTCCCTGTTGGTCCACCATATAAACTAACTTCGAACCTTTGAAAGAATGACGCATAGGTTCATGGCGGGCATGCATGTTTGCTTCTTTGAAAATAAAAAAGGGCAAAAAAAAAAAAGAAAAGAAGAGTTAAATGGAGGATGCATCTTGCTATTGCTAGCCCATGGCCATTGGTGCAA